GGGGGGGGGGCTGTTAGCACAAGACCTTTCAAAAGAGAAATTCTTTAAAAGGCAAAAGTCTGCTTGTGTCTTCTGATGGAACCAGAAATTAAACAGGAGAGCTGCTCATGTGGGGCTGGATCCTGCCCTAGTGAAGGCAGTGGAGTTTGGAATCAGAAAAGGACCTGAATTTCCATAGAAACAGGTACATGAAGATATCAGGATCAACCAGAGGGTCTGAGAGAAGAGCTTTGCCCCTCCCTGGCTGCATCTACATGAGGCGTCACTTGGCAGGAAGCATGATGCAATGTTATCGTGCAGTAGTCATAAGCTACTGTGCAGTCAGCATGATGAAAAAACCATTCTTCAGCGCAACTGCACAGTGACTCCAGTTACTGCACATTGCTTGTTTCTACAAGTACTAAATGACTGTGCAGGCAGTATCTCATGTAGATGCGGTCACTGAGACAGTCCTGGAGTCAGATTTTGATCACTTTTTCACCAGTATAAGTGCACAGGACCTGCTTGAGGGATTGTAATCCCCACTGTTCCTACCCTCAGCACACACACACGTGCACACTTTGACATCACATGCCCAAAATTTCAGTGCAAAAGACAAGTGCACCTTTGCTTGTTTGGAAAAAAGCCTTTCAAACAGTGAATGAACCAGAAGATACAGAAGCCCAATAGTAAGACCAGTTCTGCTCCAGTCCTTGTTTAAACAATGTAATTAATTGCAGATGGCTGTCTATATTATAAATTATAGAATAATTTATTTTTTTTTTACTGAGAGGGAGCAAGCTCTACACAGAAGACACATTTATGCCATCCAAATTCTGTCCTTGATACTTGCACAACTCCCTACACCCCTTTTGGAGAATAATTAAAAAGATAGATCATCAGTTAATCACTTTTTTTTTGCTTACAGAACACTCCTTGAACTAATATCAACATTCATAGCCTTTACTTAGAGTGAGCATTGTTCAGCTACTTTTCCTACCAATACCATGGCCAAGATTTTATCTACAGACACCACAAAACTATTAATCTCTAAACATATCCTGTTTCTACAGGATTCAGTTCTGAGGTCAGAGTTGAGGTTGTGTTCATGAGGAACTGACCTATGAATTTCCAGTGGGTGGACAGGCTTGCCAGCCAAAGACTTGCACCCCTAAACAACCACCTACTCAAGCATTTTGCAAGCAATGGGATGGGAATTTTAATTTAAACTGGCTGCAATAGCAGGTCCATATGACAGACCAAGGCATGGGTGGTCAGGGTGAGTCACCTGGATAGCAAAGGCCTGCTGGAACCTGGGATCAGGGTCCAGAGTTGATGAGCAGGAATCAGGAGCCAAGGTTAGGATTAGCTAACTGGGATAAGAGCCAAAGTCAGGAGCCAAGGTCAGGTTTGAGCAAGGAGCTCCAAGCAGGCTAGGAGCATGGCACAGCAGTCTTTGCCAGAGCTACCTTGTCTGCTCTAGACTTGTAAAGACCTATATGGGCAGGATCTTCATCCTATAGTCCTGGGGGAAGACTCAGCCAAGACCCTGACTGCTTCCAGTTGGGGCTTAGGGTTGTACCCTCCCCAGCCAGGCCTAAGCTCATTACAGTCCCAGAAGACAGGTGACACAGTTTTATCATATGCTGCCATTCTCCACAGGGCACCATGTAGCTCACCAGCTTCCAGAGGATCTGCCCTACACAGCCTCTTTGGGACCTCTGCACAGCAGTGGCCATTTGTGTTTGGATCAGGGCACAGTGATGATGTCTGACCTTTTTGGTGTTTCCATAAAGTTGTGAAGATGTTGGGCTTCGTCCTCCTGTGCTCTCTTCCTGCACCAAGCTCAAAAGAAGAGGGAGGGGAACTCCATGGGCCCTGGGAAGCAGAAAGGAACCAGAGCACATTCTAGCCATGCCCCTTCCTTGTCTCTGTCCCAGTGGGAGTGGGGAGCAGAGCAGGCACAGCCCCCTCCCTTCATATCCACATGAAGGACACAGTTCTATCCTCTAGCATTCCTTCCAGAAATTCTCTCTTCACAGAACAGAGTCAGCAGCAGCTGGGTCACCGCGAAAGAGCTCCATCTGAGGCTGCTCTTGCTGCTGGCACAAGATTCCACATGGAGTTCTGTGCCAAAGTGCCAAGGCTGACACTTGCTCACAATCTCACTGGGAAACTAGAAGCAGCTCTAGATGGATGCTGCCAACGACTTCCACTTCCTAGCACGGGGACCAGCAGAAGCACTGCTATAGCTTGCAAAGGGAACTCCTGATCCACAGGTATAATACTACCAGGATGCAGGTAGTCCAGTGATTAGAGACATGGTTAGAAGCAGTGGGTCTGAGCTGGATGTTAAGTCAGGAACAAGGAGGCAAAATAACAGTTAGAATCACAAATTAAGAGCTGAGCAGCCTATGATCAGTTGCCACGTGTGGTCTTCAGCAGCGGAACATGCTCCTCTTTCCAGCCAGTAAGGCAGTTCCTCAAGTGGTGGCCAGGGCTTAGTGCTAGGTCTCCTGACAGCAGGGCCATTCTTAAAGTTGCAGAAGCAGGTAGTATCTGTGAACAGGGGACAAACTATCCCACAGGAGACACATTGCTCAGCTAGCATGACATGTCTTGTGGCTGTGGGATGTAATGGGAAACTGGGCACTTCATGCTCAAAATTGAAACCCACTGAGGAAGCAAGATTTCTTGTTCTTCATGGCAGCCCTTGATAGAACCCAATGCCAGGTCTCTCCAGCTCCTGTTTAAGTAGAGGTCTCTCTACATGGTTCCTCTCTGCCCTCTGTTCCTAGATGCATCCCCTGTATCTTCTTGTGGGCAGGGACCATCTCTCTCCATGGCACAGAGTGGTTTTCTGTCATGGCAGACCCCCTTGTCATTGAAGTGCTATCTTCTAGTTGGAGATAATCTAGTTGGGAATGGTCCTGCTTTGAGCAGGGGATTGAGCTAGATGACCTCCTGAGGTCCCTTCCAACCATGGGTGACTGGTGCCTCCTGAGTCAGAGGAGACACTTGCCCCGCCCCCCAGTGGACAGTCAGCAACTGGGGGAAGGTCCCCCCATGGCCGATCCTGCTGGCACTTCCGGGCACGCTGCTGGCACTTCTGGGTAAGCGTGATCGGCCGTGGGGGTACCATTTCTCCTGGCACCCCCACTCCCTGGCCAGTGCTTTCAGGGAGGACCTGGGAGGACTCTCCAGGTGGGGTGCACATACACCCCTGTGCACCCCCTATGCATTGCCACTGCTTCCACCCTTAGTTTCCTATGATTCTATGATACCTTTCATTACTCAGCTAGTCCTATGCAGAGAACACAGGTGCTGGCTTAGTCCTGTGATGATTTGAGATTGTGCTGTCAATAAATGCTAGGCTTTCTTTCCACAGTAAGCTGGTTTCTAGGCTGCTTTCCCTGCCCAGTCCCTCCAATGGCTTCCATTACCTGGTTTGCTTTCCTCTAGGGCACATTCAATTTATTGTAACTTGCCTGATCATTTCCCAGGGTAACAATCAACTGCAAGGATAAGATTTTTTTTTTTTTGACCATCCTATCTTAAAGTTCCAGGCACTTTTCCCAGAACCTCTAACAGTTCTTGGCTGAGTGGTCAGTGCACGCAGCCTGTGTGCTGCAGATTTCTGTTTTTACAGCCATCCAGACGGACACTAGTGCACCTTATCAATTTAGGAGTTATTCATTAGTTGCAGTTGCATGGCAAGGGCTGCTGAACTCAGCACCATTATCTTTAGTGTAGTCAGTCCCATAAAATAAGCTTTAAATTCATATACCTTGACTTGGGTCCTCCATTTATCAGACAGTTAAATCTTGTGACTTTATGCAAAAAATTCAAGCCTCTGAGGTTCCTTTCTTTCCCATCAATACACAGCCATATCTTGGGGAGTTCTGGCTTTTGCTGACCAACAGGGAAGTTTTACAATTAAGATTCCTTTTAACATCATGCAAGTAATGTTACAATACAGAAATCTGATGCTGTGCCAGGGACGTATTTGATACCTCTGCTCCATGCTGGCACACTGCACAATGTGTCAACAAACATAAGCATAGGGAGAGATGTGCCAGTACAGGTTAGAGCCTGAATCAAGCCCCGTTCTGCCTTATGGGAAAGGCATCAAAGATACAGTGACGTGAATTGTCCTTCCAAGCAAATGCCCATGTCATCACTCAAGGGTCTGTCCTGCACAATATAAACAGAAAGGAAAGGGGGAAGAAGGGATGTGTTTATTATTATTTTAAGCTAGAGGCTGGCCTAGTCACAAGGTCTGTCTGGTTCAGAACCTCCTGCCCTTCTGGGATGTGTGGGTCAGATTTTCATGTGATAGATCACAAGGTGTGCAGGGTCTTTTGATGAAGGATGGAGACTTGGGAAGATTAAATGGAGTTTGCCAAATTTAGATCATACTCACCTTGCCCTTGTGCTAATGAGAGCTAATGAATGTAATGGCCTTGTATTAGGCATACATTTGGCTGTGGATGGGGGGGAAGGGAAGGAGCGGGGAGCAGGTATACATTTAGAAATCTAAAAAAAAAATTAAAAACCTGAGGTTCATTCTGTTTCATTCTGGCAGAAGGTGACAAGTTCTGTCCGGATGGAGGATTTTTATTCTGTTCCTCTAGAAGCAGATGACGTCCTTTCACCCAACTGCCCTGGCTGCTGGCATAGTAAACCCTAAGCTTCTTTAGTGTTGGTGCCTTTGAGATATTTCATATCTTTGAAGAAATAAATGATCATTAGTTTGAAAAAATATTTTCTTTTTATTCCTGTGGTTGGAAAAATGAGAATTTGGGGAGGGATTTGGTGGGGGACGGGGACAGGGGATGTTTCTATAAATGCAGAGGTTTGCAAAATCCAGAGTTCTGAAAAACTTGGGAGGGTTCAG